TGAATCACAAGTGCCTTGCTCTTGGACCCCAAACCCTAAAATCCTGAAACCCTAAAACCCTAAAACCCTGAAGCCCTAAACCCTAAAACCCCAAAACCCTAAAACCCTGAAACCCTGAAACCCTAAAACCCTGAAACTCTAAAACCCTAGAACGGTAAGGCAGAGTTGGCCTTTCAGTACGTGCACCAGAATGGGATTGCTAGCGAGGACGTCGCATCACTTGCTTGGTACTTGCAGTTGAGCGGTTTGGGGTTCAGGGTTTAGGGTTTTAGGGCTTAGGGTTTAGGGTTTTAGGGTTTAGGGTTTAGGGTAGTTGAGAACCACGTTACGTCAGAACGGTTTTGTGACGGTTTCAGTTAGGGATGGTACGGTTTCGGGTCACAGGGTTTGTTGGGACTTAGCTCGCTATGCTGGAAGCAAGAGGGCCGGTCAGAGGGTCTTCCATAGAAAGCCCTCTGCTGTGACACAGCAATCCGAACCGGAAGCCCTCACGCTCAGAAGTTTCGCTTAAGCTAGGGGTTGTTGGATCTGCGTCTTGCGCTTACATTACTACTAGGGCGGACTTGCGCTTACATTACTTCTGGGCTCACTGGTTAGAGGTTTGAGCATCAGCACCCTTCTAAGCCTATACTCCGACAGAGCCCCGGCTGTCCCATGGGAGGGTGGAAGCCTCTCAACTTCCAGGTTTTAGACCGAAACCCAAGACCACAACTTGATTCACAGGCCGTAGCACGCTGAAAATGACCAGAAAACCGGAAACTGCAAAAACCCTAGAAAGCCCCGAAGTTCAGCCGCATTCAACGTTTTTGACCTAGGCGCCCTCGAACCTCCCATCGCATGCAGGACGATTACAAAGACTCGGAGGTGGATGGCAAGTGCAGGCTAGCATGCTGCAAGCCTCCAGCCGCTAACACATCCTCGCACAGGTTGCAGTCAGTAGACTGGACATGGAACAAGATACAGAACTAGGGGTCAAGAGAGCCATGAGCCTTTGACTTGCTGACTTCGGCTGTTCAAAGGTCAGAGAGACTTGGTGTCCATGGAGAGGTTTACTACCAAACGTTGTGCTGTTTTGTGCTTGGGTTGCTGTCGGGACGAAGAGGGCAGCAGAGATGCTTTGCGCCCAGCATTAGGATTTCCCAATGGCTGCCTGAAGCCCTAAACTTAAATCCCCATAGTCTCAGTCTTCTGGTACAGAAGAGGTTTCGGTCGAAGGTCGAAGGTGCTTCATGACGGTAATATAGCGGGCCAGAATTTGCCAGAATAATCAGAATAGGGCTGGCCCATGCTAAGGGTTGTGGCATCAGCCCTGATGGTTTCCAATCTTTGCCACAGGTCGCGTCAAAAGAGTTCCAGCTCGCGTCTCCACTTTGTAGTATTCCAAGCTCTCATTTCTGATCGCAGCTGAAGCTCGTAAAGCATGCACAGACTTGACTAGAGGCCCCTAGTTAAACTTGCAGCTATTCTCTCTACACCCTAATTAAACCCTAAACCCTAAACCCTAAACTGTATCCTAAAACCCCATCTCCCCCCCGGCGTCAATAAAAGTAGAAACCAAACACCCGAAGCAGGCAGCCGACGTCGGTCCTGAACACGAGAGGTTTCGTCAAGCTACCGGAGAGCCGGGGGCAGGGGACTATACTTTGGGTCTTCACAGAAACAGTGGATGGAGATGTGTGTGTACATACATACATATAATATATATATATATATATATATATATGTATGATTATGTATGTATGTATGTATGTATGTATGTATGTATGTATGCATGTATGTATGTATATACGTACCCATACCTACATATGGTCAATATGTGAGCTATACACATGGTGCTTACAATGTGTGTATTCTTGACACGTACATCGTAGCATACTTGTACGGCAACACATGAAACACATGAATACATAAGTATGTGTGTGTATGCCAGTTTACATGCTTGCCTACCTGCACGCATACATGCATAGGTGCGTGTGCAGTGGTGGGCTTCTTAGAAAGTTTCGGCTGGATGGGGGGATGGGAGTGAAATTTGTTGCGAGTGATAGCTTCTGGCCATGGGAAGAATGTAATCTGAACTGCCAGCCGGCTTCGTAAGGACATGTCTGTCATGCTCGTATGATCGGTTATCAGGAGCGCATTCGGAGTAGGAGGAGGGTGAAGTCATCGGGATGGCTCCTTGAGTGACAGCATGTATCTTCGCCCATACAGCAAATTGAGCATAATTTTCCGGAGGATCTGTCGCACGGATGGGCTCCTGTCACAAAGCCGCCCATGCATCTGCATAGTGTGTCCCATGTAGCAACCTCACGGGTCGGCATATACTCTTCACGCATTGTAAACTCAGTAATCCAGCACAGTTGCCCACCTTCGCATTGCCTCGTTCCATGGGAGTGGGCTCCTGCAGATCGCAAGTGGAGATTATCCCTTTCAGACCAGCGAACAACTTTAATCTGAGTGCTGTTGGAATTAGGAGATATTCCATCATATAGTCTTAGGATCTCAGCCCTGGAGGAAAACCAGCTGCTGCCACTCCTCACCACTTTGTCCGAGAAGGGCCCTGCAGTCGTATCCGTGGATGCGGAGGCATGGACAATCTACGATGGCGGCATTTTCAACGGCTGCCAGAAGGACCAGGGACCCAAATACCAACTCAAAGCCTAGACTGGCCTAGTAGGGCCTAGTAAGGAGAAGTTTGACCATGCACAGGACGCCACCATCAACCATGCAGTCCTGCTGGTTGGCTATGGCCAGGACAAGCAACCCGACGTCTAACACTGGCGAAAGTTGCGGGCGCACACCACGATGCCCACGACTAGTCAAGTCCAACAGTCCAACCATCATGCTTTTGTTGTGCGTTCTTGCAACTGAGGAAGGGACAGAAGTATTGGCTGATTCGAAACTCATGGGGTTCCGACTGGGGCGAGGAGGGCTACATGCGTTTGCTGCGCCATGATGGGGATGAGTCGAACGGGGGACACAATGGGTTTTGCGGCACAGACTACGACCCGAAGGTTGGAGTTGGATGTCGTGGAGGCCCGTCTTCCCTCCCAGTTTGTGGGATGTGCGGCATCCTCTCGGATTCCAGTTACCCCAAGCTCTAGGACAGTTCCAAGACAGCGAATTCTTTGAATCGGAGTTGCTGTCACGAAGGCACCTGAGGTGTCTGAACTTCCATGTGCAAGGCGTGGTTGTTGAAGTTGCCGTTTTGACTGCACTGTGTGCTGCACCTGTGCAGACAGAAAACAAGTTTGTACCGCCTGCTTTCAATCCTTCTTCCTGCCGTATACCTTCGAGTGCCCCAATGCCTGTGTCTTCGCAGCCTGCCGTGACCATTTTAGGCCTAGATTTGGGGGTAGATTAGCATACCCAGAACCGGGAGTTCAGAGGAATAGCATTCGTATGTATTGGTAAATAGCAAGGCCCTACACTCGAATTACGGGCCGGGTCTCGTAAGGTGCGGAACTCCGTGGTTGGCGTGCCAGGCTCAGCAAACTGACCCTCACGCCAACAACATGCTTTGAGCATGCTTCCGAGGCTGCAGGCACCTATATGATACCCACGCGGTTGGAGTCCCTGAGGATGGCGTAAGCTCCGTTGGCGCCCTGATGGCGGCCCGCCTCTCTGCCGCCACACCCGAGGAGCGCCGCTTAGTATCCATTAGGTTTGGGAGCTCCTGGTGCCTATTCCACTTATAAGGCCCGGTTTTATGCACTCTGGGTCGAAGTTTCTTTCGGTGAGATCTTGTAAATTTGGACTTCATGTGTTGTGCAAGTTGGGTAACATGATATGGGATTCGTGGCATCTGCTGGCCAGGGGATCTGAGGTGTGGAATTAGGCCATGGGATTGAGAGTGCTTGTTGGTGAGTTGACGACGGTTGCGGATCGTGAGTTTGGACGTTTGGCTGTTTTAGACGATCCCTGAGACGAATCCGAATGGAGGGTTTGGGGTATCTTCCGGGAGCTCTGAAACCCGAAGCTCCTAAACCCCTGAAGCTTTAACCCTTTTCACGGTTGCTTCGCCTCAAGGCCTTGCAGGAGGTAAACCTCTCTCAGCGACTACTGATGCGGAGGTAACATGTAGACCTTGATTCATATAATCCTTTCTTTCAAGGATTAGGACTAATGATTAGGATGCCTGTTACTGTAATGCTCTTTATTCATACAGCGGGGTTTATAAATCAGGGGTCTTCAGTACAGTTTGTAGATGCTTGTCGCAGCAAGGAGAGCATACATGGACGTCCTTTGATAACTTACTTTGTGCTCAAGGTTAGATGGACAACAAGCCGAGCACTGCAATCTAGTTTTTTACAGCTTGTAGGTAGGGATATAAAGATGGGGCTGGGTTTGGGGCTTGAGGTTTAGAACTGTAGTGTTTCGGGGTCCAAGGTACATAAACATATCATGTTCTAGGCTGTTTCCCAGAGAAAATCCCGTAACCTTAACCCCCTGAGCTTCTCGAACTCCTCGGCATCTTAAGGAACGCTATGACCTTGCCGAAGCTATTCCACCTATAGTCTCCATCGTAGTTCCTTTTTGGGGGATACCTTATATAATACTGAATATATATTTGGTTAAACCAAAAAAACCCTAAACCTTAAACCCCAAGCCCCAATGGAGACTACAGGTAAGAGACAACCAAACCCTCTGAGTCTTGAGCCAGGGAGCTCAGCGACTGGGTCTTTTAACTTGGCTCTCCAATACCCAACCTTTAAATTTTTGGGTTCTTATAATGTAGTAGTTATAACAAATTTTACAGCACCTTTTCTTTGCGTTCTCATAATTTAGTAGTTTTATTTTTTTTACAGCACATTTAAACTTTTTGGGTTCTTATAAATTAGTAGCTATCTGAAAGCTTAACCCCTTATTTCCCGAACTTATTGGGCAAGTAAGTAACGGGGATCTTCCAGACTGCCAGGACATGGCGGCCATCATCCAAGCATCCGCGGAGCTCCGCCCGAGTCTTGTGGAGGGCTCTTACATTCATGATACCTGATTCAGGGATCCCTTCTGTATATTTGGGGTCTATATCATGGTCCTTGATATCCTGCAGCTCCCAGACGGTTTCAGGGCTGAGGGCTTCAGAACCCTCAACTTCATGAGCCCTCCAACTCGATCCGCTGAGGAAGCCTTGCAACGGCCCGTACCCTTTAGGTAGAGGCATTTAGATCATATAGGGTATGTAGCCAGGAGCCCAACGTTTACCATAGCAAACCCTATAATACATAAGATAAGCCCCAAGCACCCACCTACCCCCGGAAATCCTACTGCAACCTTTTATCCTACAAGTGCAAGCCAAAACGCCTACATTAATTAGTGGCCATCCCCAACCTACCTTGAAGCCACATGTATATAGACTTCGTGCACAGCTTTGGGTTCTATTTGTATACACCCTACCTAAAACCCTAAACCCTAAGCCGCTTTGAACCCCGCTCCTCGAACCCCAGCACATGGAACCCTGCGCTGTAAAACCTTGAGCCCCAAAATGCTGAAACTGAAACCCCTTTACTACTCCTAAAGAACCCGAAATCCCTAAAACCCGATAACTGTTGCAGACGGAAAAGGCGCTCAACAAAAAACACAAAAAGAAAACAACCGCAAAGGAACCTCAGAACTCTGAACCCTAAACCGTAACCTGGGTTTTGTTTCACTTTGCCGACTTATGGCCCCAAGCCTCGCCTGCACTGTCCGAGTGTGAGAGCCAAAGCCTCTAAACCTCTAAACCCTAAACCCCTAACCCCTAAACCCTAAACCCCTAAACCTCTAAACCCCTAAACCCCCCTAAACCTTAGAAGCCCCGAAGGCCCGGAGGATTTGGGTCGAATCCCTGGCAAGGGCGAGGCCGCGGCGCTCCAGCGTGGAGCCCTGCTTCTGGGGATTCGGAAGGGTGGAGGGTTTAGAGGTTAGGGGATTACGGGGTGCAGGGTGTAGGGTTTCGAGGTTAGGGGATTAGGGTTGAGGGTGCAGGGTTTAGGGTTTACGGTTTGGGGTTTAGGGTTTGGGTTTAGGGTTCAGGGTTTAGGGTTTGGTGGTGTCCTGTGAAGACTTTAAGATTCCAGAATGCCGGCACACACCCAAAGCCCGTTCTGAAAAGGGGATTCGGGTCTAGGGGGTTTTAGGGGTTTCTCGCTCGTTGCTTTCCGCTGCCAGAGGCTCCATGCACTTAATTATCAGACTTGGCAGGACTCCTGCCAGCAGTCCCTAAGGGAGCTACTGGTTGCCACGCGGGTTGACCCGGTCCTGGCCTCGTGGAGCCCGTGGCTAAGCCCCTACCTGGAAGGATGCCTTCCAGGACGCTATGCTCCCCCCTACAGCTGTGCTTCAGGGCCTCAGAACTGATGAGGTCTTGTTGAAGCTCAGTCGCGCTTGCGCTGCAGGCACCTGCCTTGTTTTAGGGGTTTCGACGCGCGCACTCGCACGGGCAGGCACGGATGAGAGGTCATCTCAACTGGCTGGGGTCTAGGGTTCAGGGTTTACGGCCTGCTTAGGGTTTAGGCCGCATACGTGTTGCAAATCTGCCTTGAGGGTTCCGAAGCGTGTAGGGGTTTCGGGACTTGAAGGCTGTAAAGGCTCGGAGAAAGAAGGAAAAAGGCGTGGAGACTATGGGATTTAGGGTTCATCGAAATCTGGGGTGTGGGCTTTTGGAGACTATACACGGTTGGGGGCTTAGGCCCCGGAAATGACAGGGTTGAGAAGTTATGAGATTTGCAGTTGAGGGTTTCGCGAATAGCGGTTTTTGATGGTGTTGTGAGTCTCCTCATTCTTGAGTGTGTTGATCGAGTCCTCCAGGTGTACAGTTTACTTGTTTAGGGTTTAGGGTTTAGGGCCGTTCGGGCTTGTTTATGGAAACTGGAGCTTTTGCTTGTCGCGTCTGACGGATCGGATTCCCCGGAAATAGAGACCTTAAGGAAGTACTCAGGCCCTTACATTGTACAGTAAAGCCTTTGAAGCAGCCAGCCCTTTTCCAAGGTGGAAACACAATCTGGGCCAAGGAGCATCTGCAGATCTCAAGGCTCTTTGGGCTGCGCGCAATGATTAAGCCCGTGGCTACTGAATGACGGGTAGCTGTTTGACGAACAAAATAGGCTTTCATTTCCGGTGTCTGAATTTCTTCAAAATGTGTGATTCTGTGGATTGTGTGGTTTCTGGCTTATAAGATCAGTTCTCACTACCGCTTTGGTATCATGGGGATGTTCAGGCCAGAGGTGTCTAGACTGTACTTATATATGTACAGTACATACCAGGGTTTAAGTAGTGTGGGCTAACGTTTAACGGACTCGTCAATTTAATGCATGAAGACTGTTTCAGGTTTCAGGGAGCCGCATACAATATTAGTTGCATCTGAAAACATGCCGGGACCTTTTTTTATGTGGTCGTTCGCCTGAGCTTTCGGATTGAGCTTCGGATTCTACCTATAGTGTCCATTGTAGTTCCTTTGTGGGGATACCTTATAAACTCCTGAATATATAATTGGTTAAACCACCAAAAGGAACTACAATGGAGACTATAGGTGGTGTTGGGCAGGGCGCATCAGTCACTTCTGGGCTTTAGAGACCTTGGAGTTCAAAATTTCCGGCCGCTGCGGCGGACGATCCTAGGCAGGGCATATTCTTTTGCTTCAGCACTGCATCTCAGAGGTAAGCCCTCCACCTCAATGTTCGTGAAGTATTCAAACAGGACTTTCAAACTGAAGATGCTCTGCAGCCACACAAAAAATAACATCGAGAGGCTCTTAGGCTCTACTATACGGGCCTTACAATAGGGTTTTGGGGCATCTAGGTACAAACGAAGCATGGGCGATCAGGGGAATACTGTTACTAGTTGTCCAGGCCTCCAGATTAGGTCTATGTGGCCAGGGGTCACATTTCAGTTGAAGGACTTTGGTCTCCTCTCGTGATACTGTTGGGGTTCTCGAGTTCGGCAGATTCGGTGTCAGGGGTCAGCAGCCTGTTGTCGTGCTTGGAACGACACGTTGGGAGCGGCAGACAATCCTGTTGATTGATTTCTGGGCATGGAAATCTGACCCACGAGCATGGAAGAAATTAGAAGATCAGACGTGCTTTGTCGCCATAGCATAGCTATAATCGTAAACTAAACCGTTGAGGATTCCTGGGAACTTCCCATCTTTGCCGATCCCGGGTCCTCTCTTCAGGCTCGCATCTAGCAGCGGAAAACAAGACAATGAGCTTAGGCTTTGAGGTCGAGGGTTAATTTGGCCCTCTTTCTCTAGGCCCACGTGGCTCGGGCTTAGGGTACCCTGAACACCCACTGAACCTTAAGATCCCTCTGCGAGCTTAGAAAGGCCGGAAAAGGCGGCGGCGCACAAACAATCGAAGCCGCTCCAGTTGCACAGGTTCCGGAGGACATGGCCTCGCGCTTGGCTAAGGTGGCATCGATTGGTGCTTGGAGTGTTTAGGTAAGCATGCTGACACGACGAACCCACAAGTGCCAAGGGGAAGGCCTGCTTAGAATCTTTCCCCCTCACCTCGTTTCCCTGAGTAGGTTTTGGATCCCAAACCCAAGCCGTAAGTGTTCACGGAAGTCTCACGGCTTGGTTCAACAGCCGCACAAGAGTGTGGGTAATGTTCCTCACAGCTCTGAAGACTTAACAGGGTTTAGGGTTTAGGGGTAGGAGTACGTTTCGAGGTTTAAGGATTCAGCAGTCCACGAAGGTCCTCCGAACTGTAGACAGGGCTGCCACTCCCAGAGACTCCAATGTCCCTTAATTAAGGAATATACCTAAAATCATATGAAGGATCCTACTATAATTGAAGGAATATTCCTTAATTAAGGAATATTGGAGTCTCTGGGTTCGTGCTTGTGTAGCCTTGAAGTCTTTCTCCTTGTGACGCGTCTCGTCGCTTATACTGACCAGGCTGTTTTAGGGTTTATAGGGTTTAGGGTTTAGGGTTTAGGATGGATAGAAAAGAGCCCGACAGCCTTAACGAGTTCTGTAAATCCGGAAAAGACTTCGTGACAGTTCCACGAAATCCGGATTAGAAGCGCCACACCCTGATGATTGTCAAGGGCATGTTGGAGATGGGCTTCGAGCATCTAATCTAGTTCTCCTACTGCATCAATCTGCTAGGCTTGTGCAGAGCAGGTTAGTTAACCCTAAACCCTACACCGTTAAGTGTTTAAACATTGGGCTCAACAGGTTGTGCCAAAACAAAGAGGCGGTGGCTTCCCTCCTGACATGAAACAGCAGAGCTTTTTCGGGCCATCACGGTAGGGGTGAAACCCTAAATCTTATACCCAACGGTAGGGGCAGCCCTGATCTGGCAAAGCTATGTCCTGCTGGAAGCTCTCATGTTGCAGTCCACTGTTTAGGATTTTGATGTGATTGGTATCATGATGACGACCCATGGCGGATGATGGTTTACACGACTGGAAACCATATAACAATGACCATAGTACTGACTTCATCGCTCTTGTGGTGCTGGCTGGCAGTTGTCACATTGCCTTGCTGGAGAGGTGGCCATCAGCGCTGTGGACGCCATCGGAATGCGCTTCTGCAGCGTGGACATCATCGATGTTGAGGGCGAGGCTGGGCGTCGCGGGACTAGGGCTTGTGGCTTCGATCGGTGAGTATTTGTGGACTTGCACTGGCCCAGTTACTCTAATCCCTTTCCTGACATTGAGCATGGGCCGTGTCTTCATCGAGAGGCTGCTCGACCTTGACTAGCTGACTGGATGAGGTTGAAACTTGTTTCGTAGTTTTCAATGATCAGCATCAAGAGAGCCTGTAGTCAATGCTTATGGGTTCGGCTTGTGAGTCCACTGCATGCCTTCTACCCCTGGCGGCGAGGGCCTCATGGTCATGGAAGTCAATGGTGGCGTGATGATGGATTCCTTGCCGTGGCCTCACATCATGGTGATTGGTGCTCAAAGCCTGGGCTTTCAGTCAAGGCTCATCATGGCTGCAGTGGCTGTTGCCATTCCGAAGCAGCACTGGGTATCCCCTTACATCGCATGCCAGATTCACCCCAGGTGTGCAGGACGTGCCCTACGAACTTACAGAGCCTACCTCACCTGAGACTAGAAGACTAGAACCGGGTCTGACTGCGTGACAGGATGAAAGCGACAGAGATACGGAGGGAGAGAGCGTTTGATTTCGGTGGCTCAGCGCCAGTTCCTTGAACTGAAGTGCGACAGGCAAACACCAACATAGTCCATTCGATACACTTCAGCTTTCCTCGAGACAGAGCAGTGCCCCGAGGATGTCGCAGATGGGCGAATCCGGCAAGGCCAGAAGCCAGCAAGCAGTATGTTTATTGTTTCCGCTGTTGGCGCCGTAAGCGTCACTTGCAGGGTCACCAAAAGGTGTCCGGTAGAGTACCAGTATGTACCAGTACCATTGTGCCAGCATTTGCACGAACCCTTGTTAGCCGCTGCACTTCTGGCAGTCGCCACCGTCGTCGCAGCACTGGCAGTAGCAGTCTTCTGCCCTAGTAGCAGGTCAGGCAGTCATTCTTGTCGAGATTGTGTGATTGTCGCAAGTTCCTACTAGCAGCTAATTGCAGGACAGGACGGGGCAAGACACTGGAACCTTCCTGGCATGCTTGAGGAGAGGTTTGGGAGTTTGGGGCTGGGACTAGCTGAAACTTGCCTCCGACGGCCGCAACCTGCAGCACGAGAACATCCCAACCAAACTATCCCCGGCTTGGCGCAGGGACTGGCTGCAGAGCTTTACGAAGCAGCCGTCCTTGAAGCGCAGGGTTCCGAGAGAGGTCCCTGAACGGCCGTCTTTGAGCTGATGCAAGCTTGAGACATTTGCTCGGTGCTTGTTGAGGTTGAGAGCTGCAATGTTTGCAAGGACTTCAGATGTGATGAGGATGGGGTTTTGGGTTATACCCAATGTAGGGCCTGCTTGGCTCTTGCTGCTCCTAGAGCTTCTAGATCTCAAAGGCATTGATCCACAGATCGACCGTTCCACGGTTGTCGGTCGTTACGGTTTAGCCTAAACACCCCTGCTCCACTTTGCTAGATTCAGGCCCTTACTGTCAGAATTACAATATAGTTACCCTAATACCCTTGGTTTCCATTTCAGTCTCATGATGCTTTAGGTACATGCTGTACCCTAAACCCTAAACCCTAATAGTACCCTTGGTTTTTCATCCTTTAGGTACATGCTGTGGTGGGGTGGACCGAGCGATCTGATAGCGGGTAGCCATTTGCTCAGCCCGAAATATAGGGATATACGTGAAACAGGCCGAAGTTATTAGCTGATGATTCCTCGTACTTGGGTTCCTTATTCAACCCCTGAATGGGGTTTAAGTAAACCAAGTAGACTAAGTAAGCCATAAAACTATCCATCGATTACCTTCTGGATCGCAACGCCTAGGCTCAGTCGCTGACATATCGCGCTGCTCCACGTGCAGTGAGCAGAACCAGAAAAAAAAGCAGCGACCTGCTGCTGCTGCTGCTGCTGCAGCTGGCTTTAGGGTTTACGGGTTCAAGGGTTTAGGGTGTAGGGGGACGGGGTGAGGGTTGCATGGGCGCTGGCCGGCACCTCAGTCCGTGCTGACAGGGTGTAGGGGGTTGGTTTTGCGATTACCAAAGCATCGTGCGAGATACTGAAAGCCGCGGCGCCGCATGTAGGGAGAGTTGTTCGACTTCGGCTGCCCTGCGTTTGCTTAACAGGCTCAGTATGTAGTACAGGGTAACCATACTGATAATTTATAGCCCCAATCGAGGTATAACTCGACATACAAGTCTCATGATCCTCTAAGTAGCCCCACAACCTCTGCAAGCAGCTCACAACTTGGAGGGAGCAGCGAGAAATTAATCCAGGTTCAACGGACAACCCGAAAGCCTCAACCATAGCGGTAGGTTTCAGATGCTTCGCAGTTGGCGCAGGTTCTGTGGTGTGGCGTGTCAATAAACTATTGTGAGGTTTCATGTGTAGGGACTCTTGTCACCACTCTCCCGACATGCCCCTACAACGCGTGAACAAGCGTTGCAGATGTTTGCCGCAGAACTTTGGACTCACGGTGAGGATGGGTTATGCTGTGCAGTTGCTGCTAATTCATGACGCAGCATTCTGTTCACACTTCTGACGGTGGTAGTTATCTGGGTGGCAATTTGGGAAGCGTTAAAATTTCTATAGAGGTACCTATTCATAAATACTTTTCAGGGCTCCCAAACTACAACCCAGTTATTGGTATTCTCCGTTTGCTTGTAGCTGGCTGTCTCTTCCCGGCCATGAAGCTGGTGGCGGAAGAGGAGCCGTACTTCAAGCCGCTGCACCTCGGTCCAGGCATGATAAGAGCTGAATGGTTTAGGGTTTAAGGTTTAGGGGTTCAGGGTTTAGGGTAATGAGGGTTTCGGATTTGCAGACCATGGCCGGAAGTAAATGGGCAGACTTGGTTTCAGTAGATGATATGGAAATTCCGATTGGGATGAAGTGTCACAACAACCTCGAACAGAGTTGACCGCCATCGCAGTAGCTAGTTTTACCCTACTTGGAGGATCACGGGACTTAGTATCTCGGGATAGAATTAGGGTAAGTATTCTTATTAGCTATTTATCAACCCCAGGTAATTATTTTCTGACCTACTAACCCCATGATCCACCGAGAAACCGTACATGATATCTCGGAATCTGAAAGGCCCCCAAGCAGAGGTTTTTGTTTGAGGTACTCTATATTAACATGGGTCTACATTTTCTTATGTTCATGAATCTACCGCTATAGTTACGGTATAACTATGAACATAAGAATACCTTGGGCAGCTTTCATCATACAGACCCATATGGGTAGTTCTCTAAATTAGGGTCCCCTTTTAGGTCCCCAATATAATACGGCACCCTTATAAAAAGGACCCTAAAAGAGACCCTAAATTTAGAAAACTACCCATATGCTACTCCCTAAACCCTAAACCCTAAACCCCTAAACCCTAAACCCCTAAACCCTAAACCCTAAACCCTAAACCGACCGGGGAATTTCGTGTGGATCCGAACCTGAGGCCTGGCGCGGACGAGCCGAGCCGACGCGACCTGGCGCGGCAGAGGACTGGGGCCGTTTGTGTCTTATGAAGTTGTAGGGTTCAGGGTTTAGGGTTTAGGGTTTAGGGTGTAGGGTTTAGGGTTTAGGGTTTAGGGTTCAGGGTTTAGGGTTGAGGGTGTAGGGTGTAGGGTTTAGGGTTTAGGGTTGAGGGTTTAGGGTTCAGGGTTTAGGGTTTAGGGTTCAGGGTTTAGGGTTTAGGGAGTGGGGTTCAGGGTTTAGGGTGTAGGGTTCAGGGTTTAGGGTTTAGGGTTTCTTTGGATGAGGGTTTTGCCGGACTCTTGCGGGGTTTGAGCAAGGGCTTCTGAGTTGGGGGGCTCAGGCTCTTGATGCTTAGGGTTTAGCGACCCAGTGGGCGTTTGGAGTGTTCCAGTGTCGACTTCTTGTCATGAGGGGTTGGAGGTACGGAAAACCCTAAACCCTGAACCCTAAACCTGCTTGAGGGTTTCAGATACATTTTACCCCCGTTCGGCCGCAAGTAAACTATTGAAGCCGGACTCACCGCTTTGAGACTTCGGGCTGCAGCCAAGGATGCAGGGTTTAGGGTTTAGGCTCTTGCCTTAGGACAGGGTAAGGGTTGCATGGGCGCTGGCCGGCACCTCAGTCCGTGCTGAAAAGGGTGATGTAGGATCGATGAGTGCTCTGGTGTTTTTACGGATCTAGGTTGTTGGATTTGGGTTTAAGGTCTAGGTTGGGGTGTGCGGCAGGTCCACCATCACCTTGCGTTTGGTGGCTTCCAGAGTTACTTCAGATAGTAGGACACTGTTCTAACCATATAGTACTTAAACAGTGGGTTGCTGTACTAAGCACATAATTGCGTAACCCAATGCTCCATTATTTCGGGTAGCTAGAGCCCTTCGGGTTCGGACTTAAAGCTCATGTTTGGCCCGTCTGCACCAGAGCCCTGGAAGCCAACGGTGAATTTTGCAAGTTCGTCGCTGTTTTCAACGGCGTTCTAAGTCGACGCTCGGCACCGTCTTCGCGATTGCTGGTCTTGCTGTATACCCTTGACATGTTTAGTAAGTCGCGAGACTCGAGTTGGATCACATATCTGGCTATATACTAGGTTGTATGGAGATGCTCACGCCACTTCTATATTCGGCCAGAAAGCTCCCTAGACCCTTGCAGGGATGCAAACCCGCGGAGCGACCCTGAAGCCAACAACCCTAAAGCGATGCGTTGCGAGTGCGGAAACCCCGAGCCCTAATCTGAACCCCTAAACCCTAAACGCCTACTCAGTATCGCTGCAGACCTTGCCAGGCGTGTCCGAGTGTAAGTGTCCAAAAAAAAGCCTACCTATAGTCTCCTTTGTAGTTCCTTTTTTTGGTTTAACCAATCATATATTAAGGAGTTTATAAGGTATCCCCAGAAAGGAGCTACAATGGAGACTACAGGTAAACTCCAAGCCTCCCTACCCGACCCTCACTGTGCTGTGTCAGGAGGCTGGAGAAGTTGCCACGGGGATGCCTCAAGGCGGCTGCGCCCCCAAATAGCACACAAATGCAGCAGCAGTAATATACACCCCCACAAGCCTCGAAGAGTTGCAGAAGCTCCCGAGGGTCCAAGACGTGTTAAAGCTTGATAGAGTTTAGGGTTTAGGGGTCCAGGGTTAAAGCTGCTAGGGCTGCTTGCTCCAACTCCGGGCGAAGTGGAAAGCCTGTTGCAAAAAGGGGTCCAGGGTTTAGGGTTCAGGGTTTAGGGTTTAGGAGACATTGTCAAAATTTGTACGACATGGTACGACTGAGCAGGAAGAGTCAGGAAGAGCTATAGGAGTCAACCACCCAGCAACGGCACGGGCGTGGAGGCATGCATACAATTACTTGTCTTTGTATGCTTATTTTACAGGAAGCTTCCCTGATTCTTGTCAGTATCATTGTTGTGGCCTTTGCAGGTAAATTATGTTTCACGTGCGGTTTCACGGACGGCACCATGTCCCACGATGACCGCCTGCAGGAGCTGTACCTCCCGCAGATGCTGGACGAGTCTTGGACAAAAGTTGGGGTTTGGGGATTTTTCGTATGCCGGAGCGGTCAGATCGGCCGTTCGACTCGTTTGGGGATCTGGAAAATGTTTAGTGCCAGGTCTGAGGATCTTCTTCAGGGACAGAGCTTTACACAAGAAGTGAGCAGCGCCAAGAGTCGGCGTCAGGTGCGAGATTTCGCATGCAGATTCTAGCCGAGCTTTTCAGTCCTCCAAACGTTGCTTTGGTGACAGTCCCTTTTCCCGTTCACACGGGCCTTTTTCTACAATGACAGCTAAACCACTGCCGAACGTCATTTTCGAATATCCCCTGGCATCGCATGCACCGGGGAGCTTCGCAAAGCACTATCAGTGTCTTCCAATCAAGCAGGATGGGAGGTACAAACGGCCTTTTCGTGCGAGAAAAGACTTGACGGAGCCCCCCCTTGAGCTGATCAGCAGCAATCCATAGAACATCATAGAACCCAAGACCTAGCAAACGCTGTCTTCTGCTCCCAAACCCGCTATAAACTTTAAATGGCTCAACTGGTAGAGCAAATGACATCAGAGGTTTTGCAGCTGTCCAGTTCCTAAACCGGCAGCTTTCTATATACTATATACTTGCCGTTGCCTTGACGAGCTGAAAGTTGCATGCAGCATCAACATATGCACATGCATAAACTTTACGTGTTTGTCTGTGCCTGTGTTGCGCTGCCCCGATCCAGCTCAGGGCTGCCCCGTTCTGGCAGAATGGGGCGGCGTCTGGCGCGCCGACAACCGTCGCCTGCAAGCAGAAACACAAGGCTCCTCCTCAACCGTCCTCTTCCCTATCAGGCTTGCTTCAAACCACCAAAACTGGTCTAACTCTTCGGGCTCAGGGTTAGGTTGGGACGGTCTCCGAGGGTCCAAAGCATCTCTGGAAGTAGTATGCTGAGGATCTGGGAGGCTTGCAGGTTCTTCGGGGATTCGGCTCCTAACAGTCGCGACATACCTCTCCCTGCTCCAAGAGGCCAAACATAAGGAAGATGTCCTTTGGTTTGCAAGTAGAGCTCATTGATGTAGCAAGGCTTGCGACTCGTCCTCATCTTTCTGCAATGACATGATGTCCTGCATGGGTGTGTGTGTGTGAGATCTGAGGAAGCTTCTGGGGCTTCGCATGGTAGCCGCATTCCGGGTTGGGGTTTAGGGTTGGAGTAGTGCCGGCGAATTCAGTATGCGCTGGGCTTCCTTTGGCCAGTGTTTAGCATTGAAGCCCGGGAGTTCCGGGTAGTGTGGCCGGAACAGGTATTCTTAGGGTTGCTTAGTAGGGTCATCGTATCCTAGAAGCCGCAGATCTCTGTTTGGGTTTTAAGGCCTCACATGATGTTGCAGGCTTAACCTTCCGTGGGTCGAAGT